TGTGTGTGTGTAAACTCAAATTACCACAACTCTTCCACTAAAACGGGATTAGTCATTCTCCTGGGAAATGGGGTTTGATGTTTTTAAAATGACTAGGATGGTCTTAATGAAGACAGAAACCTGTGTACCACATTGGTTGGCAGAATTGCCTGCAGCGATTGGTTTAAGACAGCAAGCACTTCCTAGTCTAGCACTATTGTCACTGTATTATCCTATTACTTTTAGTCATATCTAAATAGCTGGAGATACTGACAAAGGCATGAAGGGCCATAAACCCCTACTTTGCCTGCTGTTTTCTTCTCCGTACCTGCTGTGGATAGACAGCTGGACACGGGTGGTATTCAAATAACCTTTTACTTATTTCTTCTTGTTTAAACTATAGCGACTTACTTGTAAGCCATCTAAGTAAATTATCAAGTAAGTACTTTTCTATCTAAAACTCTGCAGTTAATGTAATGAGTAGATTAAGTGATGACTCGCCTCCTATTCTACGAACTGGAGCTCTATTTTTGTCAAATATGAGACTTCATTGTTCTAGCATACGCAAGAGAAAATTGTTCATGTGGCTATCTGTGTAGTAAAAGCTAACACAGTTAGAGCTATATTCAAATTAATGTTAATTCTCATAGACTCATAGAATTTAAGGTCAGAAGGGACCATTATGATCATCTGGTCTGACCCCCTGCATGCTGCAGGCCACAAAACCGTCCCTACCCCTTCCCTTGACTCTGCCGTTGAAGTCCCCAATCCTGTGTTTTAGTGACTTCAATCGGCAGAGACCCTCCTACTAGTGATCCCTGCCCCATGCTGCGGAGGAAGGCGAAAAACCTCCAGAGGCTCAGCCAATTTACCCTGGAGGAAAATTCCTTCCCGACCCCAAATATGGCGATCAGTAAGACCCCGAGCATGTAGGCAAGAGTCTCCAGCCCGACCCCGTTAGCCATTATACTATTTACCTGCTATTGCTTGGTATTCCTTGGCTAATATGTTTTACCATTAAACCATTCCCTCCATAAACTTATCTAACTTAATCTTAAAACCAAAACCTTCTACTGCAGGATAAGCTAATAAAATGTTCCTAAAATCTGTATCAGGAGCAAACTCCTCCTACTTCTAAACGTATTTTAAAGCCAATCTTTATTTACACAACTGACCTCTAAATGAAGCTTTTGATTTGTATTTGTGATGGGAGTTAGGAACTGTACAAATTAATGATGGACAATAATGGGAAATGATGAGAGGCTGAAAGACCTTCACTAATAGAAAGTTTTTTCTTTTAATTTCTGGCACTATTTGGGCAAGTTGAGGATGGTATATTCTGTCATGAAAATCAAATGGTTTATAAGGACACCATGTTCTTTATCTGATTATATAGATAAAGGGGACTATTTCATTAAAAAGGCCTTGCCAGCTAGTTTTGGGTCCAAATTTAGGTTCTATTTCATGTTTTTATTTAAAAAAGCTTTCAGACTTTTATAAATATAAATAAGTTATTTATTTGGGTTTCAAACTAGGAAACATTTAAACCCAAACATTAGAGCACAGGGATAAGAAAAGTGACTTGACTGTTACTGTTTTTATTGTTCAAACTGAGTGAAGTGAAGAAAATGAGTAGGTGACAGCAAACTGGTCTTTTCGTGCTTTCAGCTTCACTAGTCTGTGGTGGCACAGGTAACCATTTGTCATTAACAATTACTTATAAGCAGCCATGACCTCTGAATACTTTAGACTGGCTGCGTTTCATTGACATGCAAAGCTTATTAAACCCTTCCCTTGGCCATAAACACAAGCAGTAGAGGTTGAGGCAATTGCTTGAGGCTTCGCTTAGCTCCATGATCCAGTCTCCTCCTTTGCTTTCAGCAGCAGGCAACTCCCAGTTCAAGTTTTAATTTCCCCTTTCTCTCCTTCTAGACCCCTGTCCCAAAGGGGGGGCCTAGAGGAGAAGACCCTACCATTGCTGGGGCCCTGTGGTGAGTTCCTTGCTTGGGGAATTGCAAACCCATTCTTGATTACATTAACAGATGATATGGGACTGAACTTCTTCATTGTGGTAATCTCTAGATCTATACCTGGAGAGAACCATTAAAATGAACATGGGACATCTTGTCAGCCTTAAAACCTTAACTTTTAGTAGCAGTAAATTTCTTTTAAAGGCTTTTAAACATTAATGAGCCTCTCTAGTTTGAAATCACCAATTTTCTGTTTTTCCCCTTATCAATAAAACTTAAACCTGGGGTCATAGCCCCAGATAAGATGGAACATTGTCGCTACAAGTAGTATATTGGCTGAGATCCACATTAGAAATTGATCCCACGGTCATGGTAATAGACTTTTGTAATATTGTGCATAAATTAAATACACTTAAAATTACCCATAAGAAGAAACTCTGAACCAGTTTTTCACCCTGTTTTTATTAAAACTCCCCTTCCCCCTAGACAATCATTCTGTTTCTGGTGACCACTTGTGGTGATGGCCTCCAGTGTAAGGCTGGTTCCACTGATTACTTTGTGCATCTTGCTCACTTGAGCATTGGCCTGCTAAACCCAGGGTTGTGAGTTCAATCCTTGAGGGAGCCACTTAAGGATCTGGGGCAAAATCAGTACTTGGTCCTGCTAGTGAAGGCAGGGGGCTGGACTCGATGACCTTTCAAGGTCCCTTCCAGTTCTAGGAGATGGGATATCTCCATTAATTTAATTTAATTTAAAGTAGGCCGCTTGTGCCATTGTCCTGCATTATCACTGCCACACTTAGCAAGGGTGTGGTGCTGACCACATGCCTAGGCAGTAGCTCCTTTAGCTTGTTTCTGTCATGTTGTGAGGTGTTTGGGAGGGCTAATTGTAGCATGGATATGGATTGCTATGTTACGGCTAAACTACGGGCAGGTCTTCACTACCCGCTGGATCAGCGGGTAGGGATCCATCTATCGAGGATCGATTTATCCGCGTCTAGACAAGACACGATAAATCGATCCCCGAACGCGCTCCCCGTCGACTCTGGAACTCCAGCTCGCGAGAGGCGGAAGCAGAGTCGACGGGGGAGCAGCAGCGGTCGACTCACCACCGTCCTCCCGGCCAGGTAAGTCGACCTAAGATATGCTGACTTCATAGCTGAAGTTGCGTATGGTAGGTCGACACCCCCACCCCCACCCCTCCCAGTGTAGACCAGGGCTAAGTTAAGAGAGCTTTTGTTGTAGGGTTTAAACATGATTCTTTAACGCTGTTGCGAAATCCTGTAGACACGTGTGTAGTGGTTCCAGACTGTTCACCAGCTTTAGGCAGCGTTCTCTCTATTTCTGTTACAGCATGGACAAGGCTACAGGCCTCTGAGCACAAACGAAAGAGCAGACAGTGGAGCAGAGGGGGCTGCCAAAGGGGAGTGTTGGACAAAACCCCCTCCTATTCTTCCACCTCTCTCACGTTCCCTGAAAAGTTATCACAGCCTGGAAGGAAAGTTGCCTGACTGGCAAAACACAGGGTTAGCAAAGAGGAGCAGTGAAAGGAATGAGAGTCAAAGGCTATCCTTTCTCTTGTTGCTTTTGAAGCTCCGAGGATCCCTGTCCACCTTGCCTTCCCGCCCGTGCTCTCCCTCTCCAACGTTCTGTGTGGCTGCCAGCCCTCCAGCCAAGAGAAACTGGATAGCCCCCTCCCTTGGGAGCCCAGCATTGAAGAACATTAAAAACCATTGAAGAAAATTGTTGATGCCCATGAGCCAGTGGAGCTGGGGATGAGGGGTTTGGGGTGTGGGAGGGGCTCAGGGCTGGGGTGGGGGTTGGGGTGCGGAAGGGGGTCAGGGCTCTGGGCTGGGACCAGGGATGAGGGGTTTAGAGTGCAGGAAGGGGTTCCAGGTTTGGGGAGGGCTCAGGGCTCGGGCAGGTGATTGGGGTAGCGGGTTGGGGTGCGGACTTACCGCCGGCGGCTCCCGGTCAGCACCGCGGCCGGGGTGCAGAGGCAGGATTCCCGCCTGTCCTAGCCCCGTGAACCACACTGTGCCTCAGAAGCGGCCAGCAGCAGGTCCAGCTCCTAGGCGGAGGCGTGCAAGTGGCTCCGCGCAGCTCTCGCCTGCAGGTACCACCCCTGCCTCAGCTCCGGGAACTGGCCAATGGGAGTGCTGAGCCAGTGCTCAAGGTGGGGGCAGCGCGCGGAGCCCTGTGGCCCCCTTGCCTAGAAGCAGGACCCACTGCTGGCTGTTTCTGGGGCACAGCGCAGTGTTGGAACAGGTAGGCACTAGCCTGCCTTAGCTGGGCAGCACCACTGACGGGACGTTTAACGTCCCAGTCGGCGATGCTGACCAGAGCGACCCAGTGCCTTACATGCCACGACCCAGTACTGGGTCGTGACCCGAACTTTGAAAAACCCTCACCTAGAGGAGTTACTGTAGAGCAGTGATACTCGGACCTCACTGGTTTGGGAGCCAGATTAGCAATCGTTACCCCAAAGAGCCACAGTCGTGTGAATTCATTGTTTCATTTACCAGTACTATATATTCCTATGACGGGAAATATTTTGTGTGTGCGCGCGCATATATGAGAGTACTGCTCTTTGAGTAGTTTCTCAGGCTGCTGAGCGAGAGGAGAGTTGCATTAGGGTTTTTTTAAGTCCTATTTTCAGGTTTGCCATTTGAGCTGTAATGGGGATCTCTGGGATAGAGGGATAAAGAACGAGTCTCTAAAAGTGCAGGCCAGTAAAGGAAGGAGGTGGCTTACTCACTTTCCAAACATAGACAAACTTTTTGCTTCAATGATGGCAGCACTTAAGCATTCGTTTTGTAGGGCGAAGAGACGTTTGAACATTTGACCCTAAATATAGATGACCTTTGCCCAGAGCCAGACTTTGGGCATCACAGTTCAGAGGACTGAAATATCAAAATATTTTGCCTTGCAGTTTATTGAAGCAGAACTTGGTGTAGATCTGATGTCTAAATCCACGACTGAGGCTTTTCTAAGCACACTATTTCTATATAATGTTAATGTGAATTTTTTTTTCCCGCCCCCCTTCTTGAAGCTGTGGAGTGGAATGCCATGGCCAGTTCCTCGGACAGTGAAGATGACAGTTTCATGGCTGTGGACCCAGAAGAAGCAGTGGTGGAAGGACCAATGGAGCAAGACGAGGAGCCACGTGCTGATCTGGAGGTTGAGGAGACCAGGCATAACCGATCGATGTTGGAGCTGCCAGAAGAGGTTTTAGAATACATCCTGTCCTTCCTCTCACCATACCAGGAGCACAAAACCGCTGCCCTTGTCTGCAAACAGTGGTATCGCCTCATCAAAGGTACAAACGGCAGCAGTGAATTCTTTTTATCCTTTCACTGTAGCACCGTATTCATTCCAGGGCTCACTGTCTAATGTGGCTGCACATATTGCTGCATAACTGTGGTCCGGAATCTAAGCCTTCATGTGAAACAGAATTAAGTCGCTGGCTTTTGTGGTTTAGAAGATAAACTTCATAATATGAACTACATGTAAACTGATGGAGTAATATCTGCCTGTGTCTGCAGATACCCTAGGGCTATGAGCTACTCCTGTTTACCTCAATGTAATACTAATTTTGAAGCATAATACGGATGTTTTAAATATCAGCCAGGGCCGCCCAGAGGATTCAGGGGGCCTGGGGTCTTCGGTGGCGGGTCCCGGAGCGAGTGAAGGACCCGCCACTGAATTGCTGCCGAAAACTCTCGTGGGGGGCCCTGAAAACTCTCGTGGGGGCCCCTGCGGGGCCTGGGACAAATTGCTCCACTTGTCCCCCCCTCCCCCCCGGGCGGCCCTGATATCAGCATTCTTTCAGTGTTGCTCATTGTAGCAGAAGCATCCAGCAAAAGTGCTTTATCGTTCTTGGATGTACAGGCAGATATTGGATAAGGTATAGTGGGAAAGCTAGATACTCTCAGGGTTTGCTGGGATGATGATAATGAGGAATCCAAATGCAGAGAATGGATGGTCTAAGGATTAGGTTGCTAACCTGGGTTCAGTCCCCTGCTCTGCCACATGCTTCCTGTGTGACCTTATGCAAGGCATTTAGTCTCTCTGGGCCTTAGCTCCCGCTCTGTAAAATGTGGATAACTGCACTGACCTGGTTGACAAGGGTGTTGGGAGGAGAAATACTCTAAAGATAGAGACATTCAGATGCTGTAGCAATAGGTGCCCTATAAAGTACAATGAATTAGGTAGACCCTCTCCCAAATTTCAATTCACCTCTGTCTGCCCAGAACGAAGGAGAGAGGATGCTTCCCCTCCCCAGCAGCTGATGCCTCAACCAATGTCTTGTTTCCAAGAAGCAAAATGCTCCCATGTCCCCGACCACTACCTGTATTTCCTGTCACAAGATGCTCAGATACTAGAATGATGAGGACTGGCCAGGAGTGGATAAAAATCAATTAGTTTAAAAATGATTTTTTTATTTAAATACAGGTTTATTATTAAAAACAAACCTATTTAAAATTAAATTTGAAATTTACAACCTAAATTAAGGCTTAATCTTACTATAATCTGATTAAAAAGTAATTTAAATAAAAAAATAGTACATATTTGCTGTACAAGTTTTAAAGACCGACTACTGAACTGGTGGAAGTCACTGACTAAGCACCTGGAACCAGAGTTTGTCAAAATGCTAAAACCACTTTTGACAACAATAGCCTCTCTTGCTGGTGCAGAGAGAATATTTTCTTCATTTAGTTTATTCAGCCAGTTCAGTTCAATGAGCAGTTGTTTCAAAGTAAAACTAATTGGGAGCTGTAAAAGCAGGAAAACTACATATGAGGTTGAGATCCGTTAGTTCTAAAATCCCAAAGGACATGGTGACCAGAAACAATCAGTTCAGTTCACTAACTACAGATAATACTGCCTTTGTTTAATAAATTGGTTTTAAATTCAAAACATGTTCTGCTAAACTTTTTTCTTATGTATCCAGCACATTGGAGGTAGTTTTTTTTACTTTTAAAAACAAAACAAAACAAAAAAACCCTAAATGCTGTTTGTGCATTTTTAATTCTCAAATTTTCATCCAAACGGAGCCTGACACAAAGAAAAATATTCATCTAGTAAATAAGAAATGTAGCATTCACTTCAATTTCTAATTCAATTCATTTTCTAATATAATAAACTAAGACTAAGTGTAGGTTAAGCTACAAATTACTTTAATAAATCTCATAGATATAGCGTATCTGCCTGTTAGTGCAAAGAAGCACCAAATTTAGTGTAAAGACTATAATTGAAAAATCAGAATGTTTTAATAGTTATCAGCTAGTGAGAATCAGCCTTTCTTTAGGAAAATAACTAAAAAGTACAAATGCAAAACAAGATGAAAATCAATTATTTAGATCAAGGTTTCCTGCTTGATATTTAAATTGCCTTGATTTGCCCCAGGGTGGACTGGATAAATGCACCGAATCCTACAGGGCAGTTGTTTTCAAAACACAAATCTGTGGCATAGTAAGTTGAGGGCAGTGCAAAATACATGGGAATTAATATCAAACAGTAAATACTGTACTGATGGAATTGGATTTGATTAGGGCTGAGAGCTGTCAGGGGAGAGAGACCTGACTTATAAAAGGCAAACTTGCCTTATAGGACACAGGGTATTTTTATTTTCATTGCATTTTTTCCCCTGGTCACACCTGTGGGATGTGTCTTAGGCCTGCAGTTGCCGTCGGTGTCCCGTTCGTTAAATGACCTGTGCTACATTCTCTGAGCAGGGAGTTCTACACCTTCTCCCACATTATCTGGCAGTTTGAAAATGTCACCTGCTTGGTCTCCTGGAGGTGAGGGCCACTGAAATGCAGAGGTTTTCTCTCTCTGCCTGGAAGCTGTTGTCACCACCTGATATTTCTGTAAAATACCTAACTTGCAGGTAAAGCACAAATCCCCATCGCTCTGTTTAAAAGATTTTGAGTGGATGGGGAGGACACATTGCTGCGATTTCCCCTCAGCTTACTTCTACCCCCTTAAAGAACAACCACAACAAAAATAACTGTGCTGATTCATCCCGATAATCATTAGCTTGTTTTATCGCTGTCCCAAACCCTTCATCTGTGTTTTTTTTTTAGGCTGTGTCTACACTGCCACTTTCTGCGCTAAAACTTTAGGCGTTCAGGAATGTGAAAAACACACACACACACACTCCCCCGAGCGACAAAAGTTTTAGTGCTGAAAAGTGCCAGTATAGACAGCACTTTATTGCTGGCGTTTAAAGCTACCACCGCTCGTTCGGGGTGGTTATTTTTTATCGCAGTGAGAGCTCTCCCCCGGCAATAGTGTGACTACACTGCCCGTGTCACAGTGCTCCCGCGGCCGCGCTGTAACATGAACAGTGTAGACATACCCTTAGATTAAGCCCTCTGGGGGAGGGGTTTTCTGTGTCTCTGGAGCTCTGTGTGCTGGCCGTTGTAGTATGCAGATTGGAGCTTAACAGCAATGTGCAAAACTTACTGCTGGCTCTTTGCTGGCAGGAAAAGTGAAGAAGGTCGGTGTACCTGAGTTTCTAGTCTTGGCTCTGTGGGGAGCCTGGAAGTCACCTTGTGCAATCTTCTTTTGTAAAATGGGGTTGGTACTTGCCTACCTCATGGGAAGGTCGAGAATGGATGTTTGCTGAGTTCTTTGAACCTGTAAAGCTCTGTATCGCTTCTGAGTATTCTCTCCCCTGCTCTGAGTTTGACAGGTCATAGTTCAGATGGAGCCCTTCTGGAAGTGAACAATGCAAAATTCTTTCAGCACATCAAGTTATGGGAGGTAACAAACCCTTCTCCAGCACTCCTAAAGCAGCACAGCGTTTAGCCCCTTATCTGAAACTCTCACCCTCTGCTGCTCTGTGATGTGGAGTCACCTGCTTGTTTGTTCTTGCAGTTCCCATGGCTTAAAGGTATAAAGGAGAAGCTTGGAATGAAGTAGAAATTAGTGATTCACCCGGAAAAAGAATGTGGGAGAGGCGTACTGTGTACAACAGGGATGAGTGTCTTTAGGCAGCATGCATTTGAGTGACTAGTTAGTCTTTAAACACTGGGAGTGTGGTGGGGGGAGTTGTTGTTTAGCAGGCATGTCAATTTAGCAGCTACTATAGCAGAAGCAGTTGCTCACCTGTACCCTACAATGCAGAGAGGGTCACTTGAGGTAAATGCTTTGTTTGTTTTCTAATGCTTAATTTTTCCTGTTTGTCAGGATATCTCTGCTTTGAAATCATATAATTCAGGTTACATTTCCGATGTGGCCTCCCGGGGGACCAACTGTTCAGGGATCTAAGGCTTTAGTTTAACATTTTCCTGACACAAATCCCCGAGTATGATACTTAAGGGTTTTTTGTTTTGTTTTTTTTTTTGTTTTTCCCCAGCACAGGGCTTTGAGTAAGAATTTTGGGGAAAATCTCTTGTCAAGTTCTAGAATCTCCACTGTCCTAGATTTCAAGGCCAAAAGGGACCATTGTCTAGGCTGACCTCCAGAGAGCTTTCCCCCCAAAATTTCTAGAGCAGATCTTTTAGAAGAATATTCAGTCTTGATTTAAAAATTCTGTGATGGAGAATCCACTACAACCCTTGGTAGATTGTTCCAGTGGTTAAAAAATTACACCTTATTTACAATCTGAATTTGTCTAACTTCAGCTTCCAGCCATTGGATCGTGTTATACATTTCTCTGCTAGATTGAAGAGCCAGTTATCAAATATTTGTTCCCCATTTAGGGGATTATAGATGGTAAGTCAGTCACCCCTTAACCTTCTCTTTAAGATAGATTGAGCTCCTTGAGTCTATCTATCACTAGAGGGCATGTTTTTTCCTATCCTTTAATCATTCTTGTGGCTCTTCTCTGAATTCTCCAATTTTTCAACATCTTTCTGGACACCAGAACAGGACTCAGTATTCCAGCAATGGTTGCACAAGTGTCAAATACAGAGGTAAAATAACCTCTCTGTTCCTACTCAAAGTTCCCCTGTTTGTGCATCCAAGGATCTCATTAGCCCTTTTGGCCACAGTATTGCACTGGGACCTGATGTTCTGCTGATTATTTACCATGTCCATCAAATCTTTTTCAGACTCACGGCTTCCCAGGATAGAGTCCCCCCATCCTGTAAATATGGCCTACGTTCTTTGTTCCTAGATGTATACGTTTAGCTGTGTTAATACTTGCATGGCTTGCTTATGATCCAGATCACATTGGATCAGTGACCTGTCCTCTTCATTATTTACCATTTCCGCCAATTCTTGTGTCATCCTCAAACTGTATCAGCAATTTTGTTTTCTTCCAGGTCATTGAGAAAAATATTAAATAGTGTAGGGCCAAGAACTGATCCCTGTGGGACCCCCCATTAGCAACCATACCCACTTATTTCCCTGTTTACGTTTACATTTTGAGACCTATCAGTTAGCCAGTTTTTAATCAATTTAATATGTGCCATGTTAATTTTATATTCTAGGTTTTTTAATCAAAATGTCATGTGGTACCAAGTCAAATGCCTTATAGAAATCTAAGTATATTACATCAATGCTACCTTTATCAACCAAACTTGTAATCAAGTTAGTTTGAGCTCTGTTTTCCATATACTTGAAAGAAATCCTTCTTCTTGTCTTTAATTCTCCTGGCTATAGATTTCTCCTAGTGTTTCTTTACTTCCGGTATCAATTTTCTACAATTCCTGTGCCATGGGCAGTATGGAAAAACTGTTCAATAAGTTGAAGAATCTTCCTGTTTTGTCTGGAGATGTGGACCCAGGACAGCTCTCAGGGGCAAGGTTCTAATATCAGGCATATCTCTAAATCGCTGTTGCCTAAATACAGGAGATAGAGGGTTGTGACAAAGTGAAAATTTTCTGAAATATCTTTTAATCCTATGTGTGCCTCAGTTTCCACTATATTTTGCATGGCTACCTAGTAGGGGGCGAAAGGACTAAGGGCTTGTCTTCACATACAGCGCTATAGTGGCGTAGCTGCATCGGTGCAGCTGACAAGAGCGCTTCTTCCATCGGCATAATCTTCCATAGAATACCAGGGTTGGAAGGGACCTCAGGAGGTCTAGTCCAACCCCCTGCTCAAAGCAGGACCAATCCCCAGACCGATTTTTGCCCCAGATCCCTAAATGGCCCCCTCAAGGATTGAACTCACAACCTTGGGTTTAGCAGGCCAATGCTCAAACCACTGAGCTATCCCCCAAGAGGCGGTAACTGTGTTGATGGGAGAAGCTGTCCCTTCGACATAGTATTGTCTACACGGGTGGGGTGGGGTGAGGTTAGGTCGGTATAACTTCATCTCTCTGGGATGGATTTTTCACATCCCCGAGTGATGTTGTTATACCAGTATAGATCTGTAGTGTAAACCTGGCCTACACTTGCTCTCAGGGCAGGCTAAGAGATGGTGTCTGTCTGTCTGTGTGTGTCTATCGTCCCTAGCTGTCGTAGCCTGAATGGGCCTTTACAAAGGACTGGCTGAGGCCGGTCCCCTATCAGTGGAAAGTCTGAGAAGACAATGGAAAACCCAGTCATCAGGACATTGACATCTAGCAACCAATGACCCAGCAGGAGATGGGCTGAACCAAGGCCCCAAACTGAGACCAAAGAGAGGTGGGGGATAAAGTGTTGGCTTTTGGAGGAAGCCCGTGGGGTTCTCACCTGGAAACCGAGCCCTGGTCTACACTACAAACTTGCGTCGGTATAACTACTGTAAAATCTACACCCCTGAGTGACAGTTATACTGACCTAACTCCCGGTGTAGACAGCGCTATGGCAACAGGAAGGTGGAGTACCTATGCTGACGGTAGAAGCTCTCCCGTAGGCGTAGGTTGTGTCTTCGCTAAGCGCTACAGTGTCGCAGCTGTGCCGTTGCAGTACCGTAAGTGTAGACAAGCCCTGGCTAAGGAGGTCAGACTGAGAGACAGAACCTGAACATTGGGTTTGCTGCGGCTTGGCTGGGCCTCTGGGCTAACCAAGATGGACTGTGCTTTAACCGTTATTTCTGTAGCCTAAGGACTTTCAGATCGTGTGCCAGGTGACTAATAAATGGTTACCTTGTTTTGAAAAGACTGCCTGTGTCACTGTAAATACTCCCTGGGCATGTCTACACTGCAGTTAAAAACCTGAGTCTGGCGTGAGCTCGTGGGGCTCAGGCTGTGGGTTTGTTTAACTGTGGTGTAGACTTCCAGGCTTGGGCTCTAGGACCCTGCAAAGTGGGAGGGGCCTCAAATCTCTGACTGCACGCCCTGCGAACCCGTCAGCGGATGTCTAATTGCAGTGTAGACCTACCCCCTGAGAGCATTGTGCCCTGAAAGGTCACAGTACAAGCCTCCAGCCGGAGTCTGGCTTGGCTGGATTTGCTGCACAGAGCCATGAAGAGAGATTGGGAATGCTGGTGCCGCCAGCCCAACCTTGGAGGCCACAGGCCTGCCCCTGTTGAACAGTGTGGGTCCTTGGGGCCTAGCAAACTGAAGGGGTCACTCTCAGGAGACAGTCTGGGGCATAGACCAGTCTCCATGACAGCAGTGCATAACTGAAGCTAGAATCCAGCTCTCAGTGAGCTATTTCCTTGGTAGGCAAATCTGGTATTTGTTTGCTAACGTTAAGATTCTCTAAGAGCTAAATCCTCTCCTCTTGTATCTGGCTTAAGTATTGTGGCTTGGTACAGGAGGTTTTGTGAATGCTGGCAGGAGCAGATGTTTCCAGGCCTTGGACCATTTGCCAGGCTGCTCTGTGACAGCTACTGCAGCCCTGAGGCTTTAGTAGACACTTCTCCTTCCACTGGGGGCAATGTCTGGTGGATCCCCAGAGCCCCATCCCAAATCCCTCAGCATAAATCCGCACCCCACATACAGAACCAGCAGCTCTGGTTCTGGTCCTGCTCTGCCTGGGGGTCTTTGTGTCCACAGGCGAAGAGGCTAAATTTCCCCTTTAGTAATGTGAGAAATGAACAGATTTTAATTAAGGTATGTTCTAATAGGAATGTTTAATTGTAAATTTATTTTAAAATCATGTTGCCAATAGCAGCCAACATGTTCGGAGAACTTCATTATAATGTATTGTGACTCCTCAAAGGTTCATTTCAACAAACAGGCAGACGCTCATCTGGCAAAGAAGCAGTTGTGCACAGACGATATGCGCGGTGATTAGGACACAACAGACTTGCGTGGCAACATAGAACACAGGCATTGTCTATCTTAAAACACCTACACCTCTACCCCGATATAACACGAATTTGGATATAACACAGTAAAGCAGTGCTCCGGGGGGGCGGGGCTGCGCACTCCGGCTGATCAAAGCAAGTTCGATATAACGCGGTTTCGCCTATAACGCAGTAAGATTTTTTTGGCTCCCGAGGACAGCATTCTATCGAGGTAGAGGTGTATTTTCTAATGCCCCAAAGTGCACTAAGCCCCTATTCACCACCAATGCAAAAAGATATTTATAGACGCCAGACATCTCTGACATCCATCTCTCACCTGGTCTCTCCAGCGTCTGGCTCCTGCTGGCAGATGAAGTGGTGTTGCATTGTGCTTTGAGGGAGGTTCATTGGGCCTGCCACTGTTACACTTTGCTTCTTTGTCAATACATTTGTCTCTCACCAGCCTGTATATTCCCCCATGTTTCGCCTCTGCAGAGACCCTCCTTAACTGTAGTCCAGGCGTTTAGCACACTGGCCTATAATCCCCCAAAGCTCCAAATTCTCACTGTCTTCAGCTGTTGAGCCCTCTAAACTGTTTCTGACTCTAATTTAAGCACTTGCCTCTGAATCAAACTCCTCTAGAACATGGTAAGCTTACAGTGCTGGTAATTTACCCTAACTAGCTGCAGGTTTTGGACAGGAGAGGCTAACCGATACACACACTGTGTACGTGATTAGATTGCACAAAAGGGTTATTCTGTCCTCAACCTGTTGAAGTCTTAAAAACAGAAAAATTGTGCAGATCATTTATAACCAGTTACCCCCTTTGGGCCCACTCACTGGCTTTGAATTGTCTGTCCTCTCCGCTCTTGAATCCTCTGGGGGCCTGCAGTGGAGCAGTTATAGTCCTTTTGTCAGAATGCAAGGACTTGCCTTCTGATCCCCAACCACCTCTTACACCTTCCATGCTGCTCCTCCATTACCAGCCTTATGACCTCCATTCATTAAACTGCAATTATTAACCTTTCTTCCCCGACCTGGAATTGCAAAAAGAAGTCAAGTATGCATGGCTTCTAGGAGAAATGGATACACTGTCTTTTATTCCTGTTGCTCCCTTAGCATTTGCCATACTGAGTTGGACTATTTGTTCATCAAGACAAGTGACTTAACCCATGCCTAATATAGGAGTATTATGGGTTTTGTTTTCCTTTGGGAATTGTGCAATGCCGATCACGGAGGAACAACTCCTTCCTAGTCTTGTGACAATAAGTTTGTGCCAGAAGCAGACTAAAGTATTGTTTTCTCCCTTTTCTAGGTGTGGCACATCAGTGTTATCACGGCTTTATCAAGGCGGTCCAAGAAGGAAATATTCAATGGGAGAGTCGCACGTATCCCTATCCTGGAACCCCAATCACACAGCGCTTCTCACACAGTAAGTACACATTTAGAAAGGAAATATGAACTCTGCTAATCCAGTAATTCAGTGTGTTCCACCCCTAGCAGCTACTGTCATGTTTGCAGAGAATTTATAATAGTACTTTGACCCAAGATGTAGCAGTAGTGCACATCCCTATAATTGGGTAAAAGGTAAATGTATGTGTAATATGCTGTTCTGACAACATAAACAGTATACAAGTAAATAAATAGAATAAAATTTTAATTTATTAATTAAATTTTAATTCATTTTATTTATTTTTATTTTATTTTTAATTTATTTATTTTATTTACAAGTATAGATACATGATAAACCATTTGTTGTGGTTAACACTCTGATGCTAAGTTAAGAGGAAAAGTGACTGAGTGACTTAGGAGCACAACTCCTATTGAAAGTCAGTGGGATGTGTGCTCCTAAGGCATTTGGGCACTTTTAAAAACCCCAACCTTTAGACTTAACTAATTTTCTTCTTAAATATTCAGTCCCTCTTAGCTTTCTGCAGTCAAAATGACCAAAGCTTCAGTCTAATGACTTCGGTGCAGTGACATGGGTAGAGCTTATGAATTGGAGCCTATACATGGCAGCTGGCTTGGCATCTGCGGGTTGCTGCAGTAGATAATGTTTACATATTTCTGCATTATTTGGAGGAGGCTAGGCTATATTTTACTGCATATAAAGCATGCAGGATTGCAGATTAGAGGTACTGAAGCAATCACATTTTTGATATTGACATGACTTGTTCACAGAAGCCAATGACTCAACTGATGTTGCTTAGTTTAGGAGTGAATCTTTGCTTTCTACCTCTACATTTCTCTAACAAAATTGAAAAATGTTCACATGCGGGGACGTAACTCAAATGACAATTCATTTGTATTCCCGTAGCTCCTAGAAGTTCTAGTCATATTGTGCTAGGCAATTACAAACAAATAACAAAAATTCAGTCCCTATCCGTCTACATCTCTGGTTCTGGCCCCTCTGGGAGATGGCTCTCGGGAACAGGATTTCATTTTAAAAAGGTAAATATAAAGTGAGTGGTAGGATTCTGAGCGTCATCAGTCATAACATTTTCATATTCCCAAGTAATAATGTATTAAGCGAGTGATGCACAGAATATGGAATTTGTATGGACCCACGCACACACCCCTCAGGTTTAAGTACCAGTGCTAGTAAACCACCTGAAGATGACTTGCACACTGTTCTATTTACTAACTGCCTTTAGTAGAAAGGCTAAGAGGGCAGCCAGGGAATTAGATACAGATTTCCAGGTTTGGGTGAAACTCGCCAAACCCAATAAAACCCCCTGCCAGAGCAAAAATTTGAGAACATTTTACTAAAAATAAGCTGTGAAAATCCCCACAAGTTCCTCTTTTTCATTGCTGAAAATTGTAGAGGTGTCTGTTCGGGTATATTTGGGGTGTAGAGAGACACTGTGGCATCCTTCATCTAGGAAGTAAATGGATAGCGAGTTTGCTTCATGAAAAGGGATCTCAGCCAGGCTTGGTTAAAAACACTGGAGAGAACTTTGGGGGAGAGAAGCTTTGTTAGTCAGGAGGATAACTTGGTAGTTATGTTTAGGCTATAGAATGCGGGTTGTGACATTTTATACATAACCAGTAGTTCCCATCTCTCTCTCTCCCTGCTTTTTATTTGAATCTCTATTCTTTCTTAAATTCCTTTGTTATGTAACTGAACTCAAGTGCTGTGCATAATACAGGAATGATGGTCTAAGGTAGAACTGGTACACTGTTTCTTTGGGAGCAGAGGATCTGGGATTTCTGTGGGTATCCAGTGATCAGGGGCTGGATACTCCAGGGGGACACTTTGTAGGGACATGGGGATTGGGGCGCATCTGTTGTCAACCTGCCAGGCAAAGAGGGCTGGTGTAGCCCAGAGGAGAATGTGTGGGTGACCGACGTGCTGGTTGTGCCTAGCTGATTAGGCAAGAGTCCCTCATGTAGGAGGCAGGTGGTAATAAAGTGACTCTCAGCCCTGGGTGCCCCGAGAAGAGTCTCAGTAGTATCTGTTTAAACTCACATCCCACACACCAATCTAACCCTCAGTGAGTTCAAAGGGTTTTTTAAATGATGTTTTGTATTCAGAAAAACTGTTTCAAATTAAGTTGTTTGGTTCTGTCCTTGGTCAGATTTTTGGACAGTGTCTCAGTGTGGTGAAGAGACCTCTGGTTCTTGACTTCCAGGTAATCAATTGTTCCATATTTTTGAAGATTCCTACATTAAAGCCTGGAGGGAAAAAAATGCATGGATTTTTTTTGTTTTTAAAAAGATTGTGCAGGTCTGACTTTTGCCAGGTGTATTATAAAACTCAAGCAATCTTTAGTCATACTGCTTTTGTCTTGATCAGAATAAATAAGAACCTATTATACAAATGTAGTACAATCTAAAAATATACAATCACAATAGAGCAGTGACTCATCTAGTAAAACACAAGTGGCTGATGCGGTCTCATAGCTACATCAAAAGGTCATGGCAAACAGCAAAGGAATGTAATACGTTATGCCAGAAAAATTGATCCCTCAATGGAATACTTGGTTCTGCAGTGACTTATAAATGCCGAATCTTTTTTCTCAGTAGTAAAGCATGTTACCAGAATACTGGCTAATAGTTATATTAATCGGGAAAATTCTGAATAGCTGTCAGCAGTCCAGATGGTATGTTCATCCCTGGGTATGTTCACACCTGTACAAGGGCACGGGGAGAGAAAAACTCAGAAAAACATACCTATAGTGGTGCTTGCTTCAAGAGCGGTCAGATTGGCTTTCACCCATATGGTGACTTACTATAATAGGAACAAGACCAGCTATGTCTTTTTTCTTTGTACGTAACATTATTAAATGTTTCTGCCTGTTGGCTTTCAGTTGTGTTGAAAGCTTGGACTGAAGATAGCAGGCAAATACAGTTTTAATATATAAAGTAAAACCATGGGAATATTTTCACTGCAGACATTGGGGCTGGGGCGGGGGCAGCCTTTCACGAGAGATGGAAACTGATTTTGATGACTTAGGGTCAAGGAAAAACCCAGAGATGGTTTCATAAGAGTAGGGGTTTAGGCCTGGTGACTTCACTAAATTCTAACTCTAGTAACTGTGTTTTGCTTCCCTAAATTTGTGGTGGTGGTATTCATTTCCTGTCCTAAACTGCAATGCCATGTCTATGTACTGTTAAATAGCTGCTGTATTGCACCTCAGCAGTTGCAGCACTGCAAGGATGAGTGAAGGGATCTGTATAGATAACATATACCAGTTTGTTGTTGTGCTTTGGGACCCTTCACTAAGGAAACCATTGTATATAAAGGTCCTTACACACCAATAGTCAGGTCCACTAAGGAGACTTCACAAAGAATTTGCAATAATATTTTCATTGGGAAGGTGGTGGGGAAATGCAAGTTGGATATAAATAGAGCCCGTTTCTTTTCCTTCCTCTTAAGGTGAGACAGAAATAAAGAAAGTTTCTGACCTTTAAGGTAACTGCTGTACGCATACTCAGAGTTTTGTTGCTCTTCGTTGTATTTAGTAAAGTTAACAAGTTGACCACTTTCCTTGCTCTGAAGGGATTTCTGTATTGAATCCAGCCTTCTCAGTTATAGTCCGCTGATCTTATGCTGGCCGTCTCAGACTACTGTATAAGAAGCTGTGATGTAGCATAGAAGTAATAGACAAAATTTAGAGAACACAAATGTGTTTAAAATAAGATAACTTTGAAATCAGTGCTGTTGATCGTCTCTCTAGGTATTCAAATATAATGGAGTGTTTTACAGTGTTTGTTTTATTTATGGTGATAGTGGTGATGGTGGATTTTAGGAGCACAAATCCTCTTGACTTTCAGTGGGACTTATGCTCCTAAATCCTAGTTGCTTTTGAAAAATCTACCCTTAGTTCTCAAATTCTCATGCCATCTGCCCAACAAAAAGCTCTAAGCACAACTACTTCCAATGGACCTCATCTTCAATCCTACTTGGTGGATTGATGCTGGCCCTTTAAATATGTACAACTGGAATGTTCAGTTGTACTGTCATTTTTGCATAAATGGAGCTGCCTTCCTTTTCCAGAAGCTTTAAATGGTTTGCTAAAGAGAGGCAGGAAAGCGCAGTTTAAATTATTTTGGTCTATGTTTAAAATACATACTGTGCGGACGTCATGGTGCCTGTCTGGCTAGCTTGTTTTTAAAACCAAATAGAGGAGAAGAATGCTGCCACCTCCCTTCAAAAAATAATAAATTGGCTGCACTATGATGCTGCTTGAAAGCAGCCGTTGCAAAGAGTTTGGATTGGGGTGGAGGAAAGCGTTTCAATAACTCTTAACCTGCCGCTATGAGCAAATGATTGGTTTGCAGTTTGGTGGGGAATCCTTCAGGCTGCCTCGAATGCTTTTGTATTTTCCCATTGTCTCTTTGTATGTGAACAAGCTGAAGTTAAACTTGTACGTGCATCTAATTGATTGAAATTCCACAAGCTGTGGGAGGCTAGAAATTGATCTAGTGGGCTAGTACGCTGGCCTTTCACCTGTAGAGCCTGGGGTTTGAATATACATTGAGCCACTATGTGAAAATGAAATGTGGTATTAGCCTAGTCCTTATCAGATATGTGCCTGCATCACAAACCACTGCAAACCTTGGCAGTCTCTGCTTAGGGAGAGGCCTAGGACTGTAGAGCAAACAGTGCTGTAGCTTCGCATCAAGGTGAACTGCCAGAGCTTGGGAAATGGTACAGACACAATATAATGCAAGGATGGTGCATCATATCACCCACCCTAAAATCTGTTCCAATACTAGTTCTGTTATTGGTAATTTAGGTTTGCGTGGGTGTGGTAGATGTTAAGCCCTTCTGTTCTTTTTTAGAATAGGAGAAATAGGAAAAATATTTGATTATACTCCCTGCCTTTGAACACGCTGTAAGCATGTATATGCATATAGGTATGTGTGTGCCAAATGATCATGCTCTGTGTAAGATGTTGACTTGGACCATTGTCCTTCCGTGCTCTG